TTCAAGTTGTATTTTAGACAACTTAAGGTACACCACGTATCATGAGATGAGCCCACATCAATTCAGCAGGATTTGCAGGTGCCTAGCATTTCTGTTAATCAAAAGCCCCTTTTCAAGTCTGGTACACAGAAAACAAGGAACAGAATTAGTGATCACCGGCAAGAAGAGCTTAAGTGAAATGAATAAAATCACATAAGACGGTTCAGACATTTAATCTCAAGCACACATAATTCAGTAAATTTATTGGCAAAACCAGCATTTAGATGCCACAGCAAAAAACAAACGAGCAGAAAAAACAATAAAATACTACATGCTGGTTTTTAGTCATCTTGAAAAAACAAACAACCAAACACTTTTTGTCCTGCTCTTTCTGAAGACACCCCTTTCAACTCGCCCTCCCTGAAGTCAAATCACGTTGTGTTTAGAAAGCACGCTTTCTGATTCCCTGAGGCCAAAAAAATGCTAAAGAGATAAGACATTAAAATAACCTGAAAATCCTTAAAAGGATCCTAATTGTGCTTGGTCATATTAAGCAAAGTACAACGAACTGATAGCTCTATTGAAAACCAGCCCTGCTTCCAGGCTATTTCCAGAGTCACTAAAGTCACTAGACAACATTCATCAGAAGTCTAGGACGCCTCTCATCTTAGCTCAGACTTGCAGTTAACTAATGGTTTACAGCAAACAACAGCTGATTAGATTCCAGTCAGACAGGAAAAAAAAAATCTTTCTCATAGTATGAATAGTGAGACTTTAAATAGATTGCTTATGGAAGCTGTTGAGTCTCCATCACTGAAAGCTGTGGGAACAGGATAGACAAATTTGTCTGTAAAGACATGAACGTAATTGATTTTGCTAACCATGGAACAGGGGATGGATTAGTTGACTCTTAAGGCCTCTTCCAGCCCTAACTTGCTGTAACGTTATGATTACTTGGGGAGCTTGAAAGTTACAAATGTGTTGTAGCAGTTAATAACTTCATTTATTTAACCCTGACTTCGATGTAAGAAAGTTACATACAAACTTCAGTGTTGGATCAGACCATGGGTCCATCTATCACAGAGCTCTGAGCAGAAAAGCAAGAACAGGGCAAACACACTCACGGCCTCCCAGCCTCCAACCATTTTCAGGTTAGGTTATGTGATTATCTAGTTAGTACACTCTACAGCATCTCTTCCAAGGATTTGCTCTGACCAACTTCTTTTGGTATACATCATTCTTGTAGTGGCAGAGAAGGTGAAAAGCCACTCCTCTGTTCTATAGGTCTCTCAGTTCTGCAGATACCTTCTTACATTTCCCCAGTTGTATCTTTCCAGAGTTTTGACGATTCCACGTGTGGAGCTCCTCATATGTTGTATGGAAGTCACAGTATGTGACTAATCATCACCTCAAGAATATTTATTAGTTCTAGCATGCCTTTTCAAGATAGAACTGCATGCAGTATTCAAAAGCATGCAAACCTTGGATTTTTACAGTGACAAATGGACTCCAACAGCAACACAATGATCCTTTCCATTTTGTTCTCTCTTTGCTTAGTAATAAATCCTAATCTAGAACTTTTTTTCTTCTTTCTCTACTAAGCCAGTATTTTCATGACACTGTCTACCATAACCAAAAGATATTGCTCCTGAAGACCTTTAGGCCAACTTAGAAATGACCCAAGAAGTGAAGATAGGATTCATCTTCCCTGGATGTACTACTCTACCTACCTTTATCTACACTGAGGTGCACCCATCATTTTATTGTACAGTCAGTCTTACAACGTCTTGCAATCTGCCCTTACAATCCTGCATTACCTCCTATCATCAGCAAAGCTTTGCCACCTCACCAATAACTTCCCTCCTCCAGGTCACTGATAAGACAAGGGGTAACGGTTTTAAACCAGAAGGTTGTAAGTCACAGAGTAGGTTTAGGTTAGATGTAAAGAAGAAATTCTTCACAGGATGGTGAAGCACTGAAACAGGTTGCCCACAGAAGCTGTGGATGCCCCATCTGTGCAAGTGGCCAAGGCCAGGCTGGATGAGGCCTTGGAACATTTGGTCTAGTGGGAGTTATTGCTGACCATGGCATGGGGGATGGAACTAGATGGTGTTTAAGGTCCCAACTTAAGCTATTTTACAAGCCTGTGATTTAAGACTATAATGGTACAGGTCCCAACAAAGACACCATACGGAATTTCACTATTGATCTTCCTGTTAAAAAATGAACTTGCACTTAAATCCAGTGATGGTCTATGTTGAGTTCAAATCTTTCAAATCATCTTTCAAGGCCTTCCTTCTTATGTCAGCAACAGTCTTATCTTGCTCAGTTTTCTGAAACACTTTGATAAGTTCTGTCAAGTCTTTTGGAAATCCAAGTTGACTGCATCAGTTAGACGTTTTCATCTACATGTCAATGACTTCTTCAAACAAGTCCAAGTTCTTTGTTAACTCTCACTAATTAGATCATATTTATTCAGGTAGATATTAATTCGATTGCTTATTACAATACCTACTTGTTCACCCAGAACAGATGTCTAATTTTATTTTGCTGGATGCCCCTGGAGCCTTTCTTCATGATCGACATCCCATTTGACACCTTCTGATTTTCACATAGAGAGGAACAACAGAGTGACAGGTTACGTGTTGCCATTGGATATTTCATCCCTGAGTTCTCCTACAACTCTTAATAAATTCTTCAAATCCTAGAGAGTCATCTCTTTTGTATTATTACTTTTTTCAGATACAATTCACGAATAATACTCTGTGGAGCTCCCTGAATGCCTGAAAAGGGCCCTGGTGGGAGAATTTCCCCAATTTATTCCACAGAGAACAAGGATACAAAGAGTTCAGGTTCTTTCCAGTGACTCTGTCCTCCCTGAGGGTTCATTTTATACCCTTTTTATATGCAGACTCACTTAAAATGTTTTTCCTCCCTGATGTGTGGGAAGAAGGATATTGAACTGCTCTGCCTAATTGTATCTTTAGTACTACACCTGTCAGTGTTTATGATCCTTTAACTTTTCAACATTTAGGTAGGTTTTCGTGTTTCAGAATGACTCTTCTTTCTGAAAGCTTCTCATTGCTCATCAGCCATGATCTCTTCAGTTCACTCTCAGGAATGTCCAATAAATGATGCACACAAGCACTGTGCTTCCTGCTTGCTATTCTGCAGTCTTCATGACCTCTCTACAGATGTCTTGGATGTCACTCCTTGCTTCTTCTTGGTAAGTTTTGTCATATTGAAATGAATACAACAATGGTGGATATTTTGGCCTCTACAGCTCTCCAAAAATATTGAACCCAAGACTGTTGCAGCCATTCTTGAAGAGAAGCCTTAAAGTTCAGCATACATATATACACATACCTACATGTGTATATGTATGTATTCATTACATGTAACAGTGCAAATTGAAATACATGACAAGTGTAGCTGGTAAAATAAGAAGCAACTACTGAAGACCTTCTGGTTCTTCCTTGATCTTGTTTCAGAGTTTGCCAGAAACATACACTGAAGATAACTAGTGTTCATTGCTTGCAGCTCTCAAACCCTTCTAAGCATTATTACTGTTGACAAAATATGGGCCATGGAACAATGAAGTAACAAAGAAAAAATGAAGTAACAAAGAAAAAATGAAGTAACAAAGAAAAGATAGTGCCTATGATTCCTCATTTCACTCTGCTACCTCGACAGTCATTTTCACCTTCCAGGTGAACTAGTAACTTTGCAGACTATTGAAAGTATTGCCTAAAATCCTGCTATTTCATAATTACAGTTGATTTTATGATAGTAGATGTGCTCAAGTGGGGTGTTTACATCCCCATTTTTTGTCCATATTTTGTCTGTACTTAATAAATACTTGTGTTGTAGCAATATAGCAGCACAATTTTCATGCAATAGATATTTTAAGTTGCTTCAGCCTGGTTTACATTTCTTATCTCAGCAAGGTACTCTGATCAAGTAAGGCAATGCAGACAAAAAACCTGGTATTGCCATGAATTATGAGGAAATAGCCAACAGAAATCTAGCACTTCTGACCAAGAATACCAAAGCACTGTCTTTGCATAAATACACAGTCTAGTAAAAACACCTCTAAATAGAAAATGGTAAAAGAATTTTTAACTTTTCCATGGCATAACATGGAAAAGTGTCACATGCACAGCTTTTTGTTTTTTGACCTCTTCTTTGTTCTATGAGACGTACAGTCATTCCCTTCCCACTTCACCTACCTATACTTGCAGACTCACGTTTCTTCTATCAATTTGTTACCCATACAAAACTTAGAAAAAAGAAGTGTTTTACTTTTGTGTGACTCGTTCACAGGAAGATAACCTGTTAGTGTGGTCACTGTGAATACTGATGTAAACTGTCCTTGAGTCTCCACCATTTTTTCACAGTAACTGGCATATTGCTTCTAGCTCAGCACACTGATGGATCAGTGTTTAAGGATAGAGTTACTTGTCTCACTAGCCAAGCAATTTGTATTTTCAAGACATGCCAATGATAGCATGTACGAAGGTAGTATTCTTTCATTGCAGTTTTTTTTTAATTTTAATTTACATGTCAAGAGTGTGTATCACTTTGTGACTAAATAAACAGTCCAGGAGAATGTACACAGCTATACTTGGTTATTCTTTCGTGGCCCTTTAGCATCATTTTATAGCAATGACACTGAGAACCCAAAACCTAGCTATACAGTTTCCCTGCTATTCTGTATTGTGACTGTCATCTCTCCCACACTGCCTGGTAGGGTGACTTAATTAGAATTTCATCTCCAAGACGCTGTAACAATAGAAGTTTCATACTTAACCAATATTTAAAATTCCCTTACAGTCATTGCTAATTTACTGTCTCTTTGCTCTGCTGAATCAGCACCTCTGAAAGCAATGTCTCCCCTTAATCACTGAGAGAAAGCAGTGCCTCTGCAAGGGCAGATCCAGCGGAGAACAGGATTACAGTAGACTGACAGCAGCTGTATCACCTCCTGTGCAAGAGCTTAAAAATTAGCTAAAATCACTAACCTTTCACAAGGCTCAGTTCTCTGTTCAGCCACGCGTGACAATGAGTTCAGCGATCCCGCTTCAGCCTCCACAGAATCACTCGTGTAATTTGCCCTGACTGGCAGATTTTGCTGCAGAGAAAGAATAAACACGAATTAAAAAATTAAAGCGAGTTTTTGTCAGGTCGAATTATCGAACATCGATAAACTTCACTGTCAGAATCACGGAAAGCAAATTCAGATCTGAAAGTTGGAACCTTTGTGCAAATCCCACGTGGGCAGAATCCAAAGCGGATCAGAAGGCAGAATCTGCTCAAGCACCATGCAAATGAGCACTCAGTGCCACTGTACTGTGAATGAGACGGCTGCACACTTATGGACCTCTACTTCTAGAACTCTACTTCTCAGAACGCATGGTGTCTCCCCACCCACAGGAGGCGCTCCCAGTGCTGCTCATGTGGATACAGCAGGCTGCTTTCCAGCTCAATCACGCCCTGCATGTGGGGAAGGGTGAAGCTGCAGTCCTGCTTCACCTGTTGCCACAAATTCTGCTGTGCTGCACAGAATCAGAAAGCTAACAGCCTGTTTCTGGACAGTAAGGAAGGTCATGCTTCCGTCTTTTCCATGAAGAAATGCCTCCTAGACCGTAAGGAAAATATCAATAAAAATCTATTCATGCACACGTAATGGAAAAAACAGAAAAGAATAAGTATAAAGTGAGAAAAAAGAAAAAATGACAACACTTTGTCGAAATTCTCTTCGCCCTTGTTTTGGGTGACTGCTCTCAGATCCAAGGCTGAGCCTCCAATATGAAATCTATTATCATTCAACTCCTATTTTCCTTTGGCAAATACTAACCTTTGCATAGTTAGACCTATTTGAAGGTAACCATACAATGATGCACCATCACTTCAAAGTGTGAACAGAACTAAAAAGAGAGTATGTTTGCTTTTGTGGCCCAAATGAAGACACAAGCCTGATGAAGATGCTTCCTGTATTGTGCATGCTTTCAAGAAAACATGCCCATGTACTTGTGCATAACACCTGCTACAAAGGGATGTAGATCCCAACTGGAGCCCTGTGCAAGTAACATAAGCACTGTAAAACTTGCTTATACCTGTCACCGACTGCTCTTTCTAAACTAAAGAGCTTAAGAGTAGAAAAAGAGAAACATGGGAAGTTGATTCGTTTAACATAAACATTAACTTCAACCCTTTTTGTAAGATTGAATTGTCTTGCTGTTAAAAAAGCACGTGCACAGCAGATATTAACCAAGATGAAGCCTGAAACACCCGCCACATTTGCAGCTCTTCAGGTTATATTTAGCACTCCACAGCTACGTTAGGAACCCTGCAAATAAAACTCTACCCAAGGCTCCCATCTTTGTGATTTCAGCACGAAAACCATTTCTGTTCCCAACAAATCAGAGGCAAAACCTTACCTGAAATCCTGCCAGGCTCGCAGCGTATATCAACCCATTGCATACTGAATGTAACACACAGCAAGTCCCTGCCTTGTGTAATGGCACTCTACATTCTAATCTCAGACACAGATACTCTGCACTAGGATATGTATTCAGTTGTAGAAGAAAAATTAATTATTCTTTTCCCTTCTCTTAGATACGTCCCCCACATCCCAGGCTACGGACCCAGGCTGGCGTTAGTGTGCATTTTTCTCTCTGGTTCTTGGACAACCGTGTGTGCTTTTGAGCAAAATAGTGCCTCTGCTGCCAGGGACAAAATGCCCTGCCATACCCCTGTGCTGGAACATAAAAACTGCCTTTCAGCCCACTTCTCATTTTCCTCAGTACCACATCTACAACTCTCATTTAATGACCAAACAATAAACAAAGCGAAATAAGGACAGCAAATCCTAACTTCAACCTTCGGCTAAATCTGCCAGGCACATCAGACCCGATCCACTACAGGCTTATTTTAAAACTGGGTGGCTGAAAGGTGCCTCAGGATTTATTTAAGGAAAACAGATTGTCTCTGAGGCTGATGCCAAATAACTCATCGCCCGAGTTATCACTCTTCAATCAAAAAGTAGATGAAGAAATTACATAAGTCATTTAGACAGCCATCACCGTGGAGTTACGCTGGGCTCTCATGTCAGTGATGAAACAGCCAGCTTCTCTGACTGAGGTGAGTTATTCCCCTTATCGCCAGCAGAGCTGCCAAAAGAATCATCAGGGCTACAGGCACGGAAAAGATGAGGCCTCTCCAAACTCAAGTGATAAAAACACAGTGTTTTAGTATTTGATTTTCGGCGTTATAATTTAAGTTTAAACAAATTACAATATTAAACACAGTTAGACGACAATGTGCTCACTATAAACTCAGACTTCAATTTCTTTTCCAGGACAGTGTCCCCATCGCCCCAATCTCTCTCATAACTAAGCCCACGTCTTCTAGCCCTGACAAAGCCAGTACAAAATATTGGGTGTTTTATTATTACAAGTTGTACTTGGGTCACTTTGGAGATAGATTTTCTTTTCCTCTCCAGTAATAGTAATGACTTCGTACAGGAAATTGGTCCATTTTTGTCACACTTCAACATCTCTAGAAAGAAGCCACATGTGATAAGAGAGAGTACAACTGTTTGGAAATATAAATCTACCAAGATTTATTGTCTTTAAAATATCCTAAATAGAGCAAGAATATTCTAATTCTCTTGTTTAGTTCTAAAATCTTCTTTTAGAAACCTAGCAAGGTCTTTTAGAAAGCAAGGTTTATGGTCCTGACTTCAATTTGAGCAGAATCTCAGTTAATAACATTGCACACATAAACCCTCTTTTAACAGTCCATAATATTGAACCGAAGACAGGATTGCTCAAGAACTTTGTTATTCTTTCTCCCTAATAAACCAGCATTACAGACTTTCAGCAGGTGTCTTTAATAGACACTGTTATTACAAAAGTATTGCATGAAATAAATTCAGACCATTTCTCCAGCATTACTCCTCCTCCCATTAAGAGGATTTCTCCTGCATCTTCACCTATTTATGCCTAAACAAAAACTCATCCTCAGACATCATAAACTGTCAGCATCCATACTTATTCCTTACACTTAAAAATCTGCCACTGCTTCCAGTTACAGTGAAATCCCCTTTCTTTTCTGCTTTTTGTTTTCCTTTTACAGTTTTAAAAGCTGTAGCAGTGTGTTTTGGTATGAAAGGTTCTGTTCGTGAAAAGTTTTTTTGGTTTCTTTTTTTTTTTAAGTATGGAAAAATCTCACTGTTTCAGTTTCAGGTGTTTTTCTGTGCTTTAATAACTCAGTGACTTCAACAACTCAAGAATGGAAATTTTGTGTTAATTTCTTTCAACATATCAGCTAAGAAATATGTACTATGGGCATTGTTACTGTGTGGGAAATGTTATTAGAAGCAATTTCTTGGGGACAAATCACACCAAACAGGTGACATCTCTAGGTCAAACAGTCAGTAACACTGTATGCCCAAGCCAAGTACTCAAAGGCACCTTGCTTACTTATGCACATCCCATGAAATAGTGCTTGCTTCTCTAATGTAAAGATACAGTTGTTGGGATTTTTTTGTTTGCTTGTTGTAAAATCTCCAGCAATCAGGTTATTTATTCAGGTAAGTGCAGAGTTATGACCTACAGATTTTTCTTTGCCTGCCATCTGCACGGCGGACCAGGCCTGTACATAAACTAGGAGATGCTTGAGTACTTTTGGGCTCCTGGGTCTTGACTGCATCTTTACTCCACGCTGAGGTCAGCCTCTTACCTCCATGGGCTTCTGTCCACAGAAACCTAATGCGTGGTCAGAAGGAACGGCAGCATGTTATTGGACTGGTTAGGAGACAAGATCTAGGACAACCTTGAGAAGTGTCCAGGGATGCGACAGGCTTTGGAGAATTACTCCTCTGGAGTAGTTCTGCTGAAAGCCCCAGAGTTATTTTGTGTTTATACACAGTTATAAGATATATGTTTCAACCAAGTAAACAAATAGACGTTAGTCCATCAGCAGTACATCTTCCTAGATATTGTGCATCAGAGTGTACTCATTCCTAAATATTTATGAGTGAAAGAAAGTGGGGAAAAGACATCACAGTATCTAGAGACTGCTGGGGCTCAATCTACCTCCTGATCGCAGGCCCCTTAAACTCAGCTCAACTCCTAACTCCCCCTTGCCTCAGTAAGGGTTCCTAAATGCATTAAAAGCAGGAAGACATGCAACAACTGTCAGCTAGAAATACTGTGATACATAGTTTTATGTGTTTGCTTGATGGTAGAATACTTAAAGATGCTCATACAATAAGAACCCTTAAGAGATGGATTGTTGTGCAAATCTTTAAAGAAATGTTCACAATACCTTGAGCATCATAACTTCTTACAGCTGTTAAAAAAGAACAGTTTAAGGCAATCATGAGAGTCTGTAGATGAAACTGGAGTAGCAGAGCCTTTTTTCATAGGTACAGGTAATTCCTCACAAGCAACTCCTTAGCTTTGTAGCTGAACAGTCACCAGCTCAAGGTAATAACTACACAGCAGTCCTTGTTTTTAGTCAAGCTACCAGAACTTCAGGCTGCAGAAAAAACAGCCGTTTTATGGTAATCATTACTTATGTTAAAATTTCAAGCTCTTCAAAAACTAGCAAGAAACCTTAAAGAATCTGAATGCCGTTTTCTTCAACCTCATAATTGGGCTTGGGGAAACCATCCATGAAAATTGATAATAAGCTATGGAAAAAAAGAAGATACCCCATACTCTTTCGATCAGATGAATGCATAAAAATATCTCCATGGCAAGCTGCGGCTGCTCCTCACCAGTTACAGCTAGTCTCGGTATTATCGGGACCACCAAAGCACCCAATCCCCTCTTCTATCTTGTCTCTACCAGGCATCTTACACTGCGATGAGTTGGGAGAAATATGAACAAGTAAATCTTTGTAGATTCTGTTCCACTGGCATTTTCTACTGCCTTGTTGAATTATCTGATCTTTCTGCAACAGCCAAACAACACAAACACAGAAAACCGGTACAGAAAAATCCACACGGCTTACTGCACAAAACAGCAGCAAAGAACGTATGAATACAATCCTGGGAGCCACTCAGTGCTGCAGCTCTGCCCTGCCTCGTCACCTCCATATAGCTGCCTCACCACATACAACACTCTCCCAAAGTATGAGGTATGAAGAACAGCAGGAATTCGCTGCAGAAACTGAAAACTGCTGATGTGATGATGCAGCACCTGAAATAATCAGACAGTTGATGAAGTAAGAGCTTTCAGATGGGTGGCCCCAAGAAATGTCTACGTCTGGGAAACAGGAAAAAAAAAAGATGACTGGTCTGAGTGCAGATGCAGCCTCAAATATGATCTGGCACAGCAGATTATCTTGCCCACCTTTACATTTTTTCCTCTTTTATTCATTTGGCTGCTTCATCTGCTGAAGACATAAATCACGGCTGCCTGCAGGGGCAAAGTTTAGAAGGATGCAACCACAGGCCAGGGAGCTGATGACTGACTCTGACATCTGAGAATAGCTCTGAGTAAGCCACTGCTTTTCTATCAGGACTGGGATCTGTTTTTTTCCCTCTAGGTACACGCATTTCATAGCAACACGTTCTGTTGCTATTTAGGATTCACTGGCCACTTCCATTACAAATGTTCTTTCCCTGAGATTTATAACCAAAGCTTTTGTTACAAAGCCCAACGCCAGACAAAACTTGCCTCACTTGGGGTTTTGTTGCAAAGCCAGGACTAGAGCCAACTTCACACAAATTTTCGCATTTCTTTTGGTGAGCCTGAAACAGTTGCATCCTGAGACAACGAGATGTTAGAACAATACATACCTTAGGGTCTGGAGTCAGCAAACACTTCTTCACTCACAGTTAAAAACAAGGAATCCTTTGCCTTCAAAGCAGAATCAGTGTTGAATGGAGGGCTAAATCCGGTGATAGAAACCAACGAAAACGCTTGCGTGAACCCCAGCAAGAATCAGAATAGCTGCATTTTGAGCAGCTTTATTTATAACGCTATAATTTTAAACGGTAACGCCAAAAATAGTCATTGCAATATGTCAGTTCAACCTAACTTTTTTTTTTTCTCCAAGAGAAGTAAATCACTCCAAACTTTTTTTTTCTTTTTTTATAGAGTAGTAAAAGAAATAATAAATAAAAAGTTTTCCAGCTAGTTTTAAAGGGTTTTGTGTTATACATCTACCAAGGGACTTTCACAAGTAGGTAACGATCCAACAAGGCAGCCGGCCCGAGTAGAAGATTATCAGGCTCTTGCCCTCCCCTTCGCTCTGTGCCACTGCTTTTACTCTCTCCACCTCCATCGTATCCATAAAAGCAGTGGGTCTGCAGCCAAGCACTGCACGCTCCCCACAGCCAGCAACTTCCTCTGAAGCTGCAGCGCGTAATTACAACCAGCTGTGCGGACACCGCCAAGGAGGCTCCCAAACTCGTGCAGGAAAAGCACAGAGGGAGCAGCGATCCCCCCTTTCCTGCAGCCGCAGATGCTAAAAAGATAGCACGCTTCAGCCTCCCTCCCTCTTCTCTCCTCCACTAAACCCATGTGTTTGAGGGAAGAAAGCCTCCTTGCGGCCCCTGCCGCTCCCTCGGCGTGACCTGCTGGAGGCCGCCAGCACTGCTGCTTCTTCCCCAGGGACAGGGCTGTGAGCCACACCGTGAGGCTGTGTGACCCGTACAGCCAACAACCCCACGTTTTTAGGCTCTTCCTGTGCTGCTTGTTAGCTCTTGGGAGTTTCATCTGCAGTGCAGTTATCTTTTTAAAGACTGAAATCCTTGCTGCCAGCCCTCAAAGTACCCAGTAAGCCTAAAGGCCTTCGGGGCTCTTGGACATGGGATATATACAACGGTGCAATCACCAGATTAATGCCCTGCACTTGCACAGCACCAAGATCACAGCACACAGATGAATACTCTTAATACCAATTTAGACTAGAACCTAATTTATAACTAGAGAAAGCAATATCAGATGCATTGAACACTTTGCTCAAAACAACAGAAAAATCTATGAAAGAGTTGGGGACAAACAAGTCCTGCATTCTAATGCTTACATCATGTTGGGATTGCACAATGATAGCCTTCCTCTCCATGATAACCAAAACTGCAGCCTCAGACTTGCTAGGCAGGTAGTGAGAGCTAAGTGAAAGAACTGTGCACCACATGAAATCACCCACCACTCCCTCCTACAGGATGCAGAGCTGAGCTTTGAGGAGGCCCTCGTAAGTGTCACTATTCACAACCAGTAAATTCTACAGAAGCGGAATACAGAGGGCTCCCTAAAGCCATAGCATATATAGAATCATAGAATCACAGAATGGCCTGGGTTGAAAAGAACACGATGATCATCCAGTTTCAACCCCCTGCTGTGTGCAGGGTCACCAGCCACCAGATCAGGCTGCCCAGAGCCACATCCAGCCTGGCCTTCACAGCTTCCAGGGATGGAGCATCCACAACCTCCTTGGGCAACCTGTTCCAGTGCATCACCACCCTCTGTGTGAAAAACTTCCTCCTAATATCTAACCTAAACCTCCCCTGTCTCAGTTTAAAACCATTCCCCCTTGTCCTATCACTATGCACCCTCATAAGCAGCCATTCCCCACCTGTTTATATGCCTCCCTTACAAGGCCACAATGAGGTCTCCCCGGAGCGTTCTCCAATATGATCAGGGCTTTTGGGTAGCACGTTGGATCAGTCACATCCAGGCACTGTGTTTAACAGCAGTACATGAAAAGCAGCCTAAGTGATGCCCAAGTGATTTAGGAGCACAGTACATTCTCAGAATGGATTTCATACTGTGGAAACTTAAAAACTAGGTAAGAATATTTTTCTTTTCCTCCAGTATGGAGTAGCAAAGCCAGAACAGTACATGAAATCATCATGCCAAACACACGATGGTTTTTTTTGTTCCACAGTAAAGTTATGTAGCTGTATGGGTATCCTATCAGGTTACCTGTTTGCACTTTCACCGTGGGTGTAAGCATGTCTCAAACACTCCAGCTTTCATGCTGTACTTTTGTACTTTTCCAACATTAGGTACACAATGCACGCATTGCTATTTCTTTGCTTATTACTGCAACAACAGGGTGGTGTTAAGAGCTCTGCATCGTCCCAGCTTCTCAAACCATAGCTTAGCATATTAGCTTTGGCACTAAGACAGGCTTAGGAAATTGCTCTCCTCTGTTTGTCTTGCCTGCTCTGTTTTTTAGGTTAAAAAAGTATGTTTATCCTGATTCCTTTCACTAATGTAATTCCAGCTGATCCAATTAACACTGGCTAAAGAGGGAAGCAAAGGGTTGTAAATTGTGGCAAAAAGGGAATGAATGAGAAGAGATGAGCAGATGGAAAGAAAAAGGAGTGGTAAACATTAAACTGTCTTTGCTGTTGGAGAGCGTACAAGGGAAAAATGTTCTCAAAGAGTTCAGTTACTGGTAAATCAACTTTCCTCCTTCAAATACTTATCTCTATTACACATATTCCATCTCACATGATTTCAAAGTGGCAGCCAGAACCTTGGAACTGTATGTCAGGGCCCTAAGCAAAAAGCACGGACTGAAAGGACTCATTTACCAAATATAATATATGCACCTCAATTCTCCACACTGGTCTAACACATGGTAGAAGAGCAGGTGGCTGCCTGGAGCAGAACAGAGATGCTCTAAAGGGCAGCCAATAGTGCTGCTCAGTCTCCAGCAGTGCAAACTCCACTGTAATGACGGCTGTTTTGTTGAGTGCTGTGATACAGTCCAAGACCCCGTTAAAATGTGTGGGGTCAGAAACTGGTGTGACCTTTAAGCAGTGGAAATCAGTCATTTTTCAGCCAGGGAGACAGAACTCTTCTCATATCACACGTGCATGGTACATTTCTGGGGGACCTGTGTCACTGCACCTAAGCTTCAGTGTTTGAAATGTGCAGCAAAAGGATTAAGAAGTTTGGGAATGACAACAAGCTGATAATCAAGACAGCCTTGTGTCTTCCAGAAACCTCATGAAACATTCCCCCCATACAGACTCTGCAGTAATAAAAGCAAGGATGGCTTTCTCCAGAGGGAATTCTGTCAAACCAGGAAATCAGTGTCAAATATACACCCAGGATAGGAGACAAAAGTTAAAAATCTACAAGAGATAAACTGAACCGAGGTCTTACTTATATTCACTTTTTGGCTAAGAAGTGTGAAAGCTACTGACATGCCTTGCCGAGGGCAGAACGGTCAACTGTGGAGATGCTTGTTTGTTCCATGCCAAGAGAAGCACAGGTCAAACCCCAACAGCTGAGACAAAGAGAAGGGAGAACACGACTTAGCTACAGCTACCATACAACTTAGGTCAAAGACCCTCAGGTCTCGTTTAACAAAGTACAAAAGAAAAGCACTAACAGACTGGAAGGGGACAGGGGGATTGTAGGAAAACAGTTCACTGAAAAAGGCATGAAAAACAATCAAGTGGGCTTTGAAAGAGCTGAAGTCCAGCTTAGGCTGCAAAAGTACAATTCTGAGTTAAAGCAACAGGGAGAGGGAAAAAGAACAGAGCAAAGAGAAATGCACAGCACAGCAGAGCACAAGGATAGGCACATGTACATTCCACAGCAACGAGAAGTAAAATACAAACCTAAGCACCTGAGGTATGTAAAGGTGTACGCAAGGAAGCATAATCCAGAGAGAACAGGAGAAAAAAGTGCTGTACCCAGAACAGGAGACTAATTCCTACTGCCATGTAGGCTGATGCAGTTTATGAAGGGCACAGGGTTTTAAGGGGAAAGTTCACACATGGACAATGCCACTTTGGCAGCAGTTTTTGCACTGTGTCCATGAAAAGTCAGCAAATGGTGAAGCAGCAGAAGAGGATGTCTAGGCATAAACATATACACCAAGACTGTCTGCCTCTTTGTTTTGCACTGCCTCATTAAGCTCAAGGAGGGAAGGTTTAGATTGGATGTCAGGGGGAAGCTCTTCACAGAGCAGTGAGGTGCTGGAACAGGCTGCCTGGAGAGGCGGTGGATGCTCCATCCCTGCAGGTGTTCAGTTCAGATGGGCCCTGAGCAGTCAGCTCTAGTACAGATCTGGAGGTTGGTGGCCCTGCCTGTAGCAGGGGTTGGAACTTGATGATCCTTGGGGTCCCTTCCATCCCAGGTCATTCAATGATTCTATGATGGAAACTCCAAAACTTTCCTGAGCTGCCTGTTTCAACGTTCAGCTTCACAACGAAAAAGCCTTCTTAAAAAAAAGCATATAAATGGAATTTCTTGTATTGCAATTTGAGTCCACTACCTTTTATGAAAGCAGTAAAATCTTTTTGCGTTTTTGTTTTTTTCCCCTCCATATCTGATACGAACTAGGGAGTTTCTTATTTTTAGCAAAGGAACAAAAGGTAAATTTCTATCAAGATTTACACATGTACCAGCAAGTCTCTCCAGACAGTCTAGCAACAATTGTCAACGGTGTTGTCAGAATTTGGAAAACTAACAGGTATCTTATTTCAACAAATGCAATTTGATTGCTAAATTCAACCTTCATGAAAGGGAAATGCAATTGTAGGCTTGGGGCCTCTTACCCTTTCCACCAAAAACCTGATAATTAAAAGCTGGTAAAGGCTGATGGGAGTGATAAAAATCTTGAAAGAACTTAGCAGCCTTCAAAACTCCCTCATCTCTTGTATCTCTACTCCCCTTTCCTGCAAATTTATCCCTATGGTGATTACGATGAAGATTTCCACTTGAAAGAATGATTTTTTTGCTTCCTTCAAACTCTACAGAACTGCTCAACATACAGCCACTGAGAATTTGGTCTTGGCTAACTATTTTCCTCCGCTAGTTTTTGCTCTCTGCAAAGTAAAACAGTTATCACAGATTTGGCAGATCTAGGAAAGTTTTAGCAGAGTAGGAAAGTTTTTTTTTTACACTCTTTTTGTATCGTGAGCCATTAGTAACTTACCCTGAAATCTGAATGTATGATGCAGGAGACAGTTTCTGGCTAAACTGGCAGGCCTGGTACTTAGAGATCATCTTTTATTTCTATCTGTACATCCTCAGAAAATAATAGCCGCAGTTGCCCAGTGACAGCATTTTTATCATTTTCTTCCAGAGAAAAACTGAAATTTCAGTTTTTCATGAATTATGAAAAAGTCACCGTCATAAGAAGACATCCTGAAGAAAACTAACATAAGGCAGAAGTGCAACGTATATAGAAAAAAATCCTTGCTAGCCCATAGGCTAAAGGAGAGGTGCCAGAAGGCTGTACGGACAGACTATGCATGGAGAGCTGTTCTGATTAAGGGACAAAGAACACAGCTTGTTAGGGATGTCAATATCAAAGAGTGACTGGAATTACTTAGAATGGTTCAAGGTAATAAATCTTCAGCAAATGGAATGTACTTAAGAAAGGAGAAATTTAGGTCAAATCTCAGGAAAAGATTTCTAATAGTGAAGAGCAGAAGGTTACGGAATATTTGCCTGAAGGAAGACACACAAGGCACATCCCCGGGGACATTTAAAACTACACTGGAAAAAGCACTGAAGTATTTGGTACACAATAATCTTACACCAGGAAGGAGAAGGGCTGGATGATCTAATTGGGCTTTTCCATCTCTGCTTGCAGTGACTCAGTGGTAATTCCGCTGGCCGGCTCCAGTTTCAAACAGAAAAAAATCCAGCAGCAACTCTAAGCATCTCCTGCTGAATGCAAATGCCACAGAATAACTCACCCCGGGACAGAATGCAAATGTTCTTCAGAAATGAAAACAGATCCCATGCTTTAAGTTCTCTTTACGTGAACATGTCTAGCTTATAAAGAGAATTAAAGATACATATACATAAAAGAACAATCCTTGTGTAGGCATTTCTGTCAAGGATCAGACGTGCTCAACACGGCTGTGCACATTAAAAAATGGGAAATACTGAATGGAAATTGCACGGATTCTGTTCAGTTCAGGTCGATTCTGTAGGTACGTTACAATGTTGCTCAGCATGGAGAAGAGCCACAGAATTGGGCTCTGTGAACTTTCAAAGGCAGGCTTACGCCTTTCTTGCTTTTTGCTTTTTTTTCTAGCTGACACCGAGGGGATAAAGGAAAAAAAAAAAAAAAGAGATGGTGTATTTTACACAGGCAGATACCTGAAAGTCTTATTCTTTTCACTTGAAACAGCTGCTACCTGGTGCTGCTCTCGGTCGGGCCGTGAAGCTGCAGCTGTGCGCGCAGCCCGGCTCCAGAAGCAGCAAACTCCCCGCCGCCTGCTGCAGGCCCGCCGCCTGGCGGCACGGCCAGGCCTGAACCCACATTCAAGGCCCTCCCAAAACGTTACTGAGCGAATATTTACCAAGCCTGCCCAACTACCTCCTTGTTTATGCCCTTCCGAAACACAACCATGGCCCGTATTCACTGGGACGTCAGGACACCCTGCGTGGCACTGGGATTATTTCCATGTACCTTGCGCGCCCTGAGTGCAGCTGCATGTAAATGTCTGAGAACACAGTCCTAAGAAAGTCATTTGAAAAATAATTTCCTCTTCACATAGCAGCTGCTGAGGTAATTAAGTCACTAATTCTTGGCAAGTCCCCCAGCTCCCAAGGGCCGCTTGCACGTGGCAGCATTTGTGGATGCACACAATCCCCAATTCCAAACTAGCTCCATGCAGCCTTCCAGTATTGAAAGGGAGTTCATAAACATGAGGGAAATCAACTTGGCACAAGAGTAGATAGTGACAGGACAAGGGGGAATGGTTTTAAACTAAAGGAGGGAAAATTTAGATTGGATATCAGGTAGAAGTTTCTCATTCAGAGCAGTGAGGTGCTGGAACAGGCTGCCCAGAGAGACTGTGGGTGCCCCATCCCTGGAGATGCTCCAGACCAGGTTGGATGGAGCCCTGGGCAGCCTGGTCTGGTACATGATCCAGTGTCTGGCAGCCCTGCCTGTGGCAAGGGGGTTGGAACTTAATGATTTTTCAGGTCCCTTCCAAGCCAAGCCATTTCATGATTCTATGATTAAGTCAACACCCATTGCTAACAACACTCATCTCCCCAGAAATATTATGCAGGCATACATCAGAACTGCTGCTATATAACACTGCTTACACACCTCCTTAAGACAGGCCTTCAACTCTCATCAAGTTGCAAAACTGCCAGTAAATATCACGCAAAATACAAGGCTACTGATACCAGAACTAGGAACAGGCTCAAATTTCTGTTGTCCCACGTGTGGTCACAAAAGACAATCGTGTCCAATTAATGAAAGATGAAGACATCTCCATGCGTGAGTGTGTAACGATGCAAACACTTAAAAGGATGCCCACGTGTTAAGAACTAAGACTAGGATTTTAGCCAAAAGACCCATGTGTAAGTCCTGATTCATCTGGATTTCTTTTAGAAATGCCTTTTGTGCTTACTACGCTACAAACATTTAGATTCAATGAAGTCAGAGAGAACCGATGAAGCCACATCATAGCTAACAAACCAGCAGGGCTTCTGATCCAGTAGTCTGCTATTTCATAATTTAGGGAAGTTAACCCTTTCTTTCCATCTACCAGCTATACTTTCAATACTGTTATAAATGATACTACCTACAGCATGCTAGGATACTTCACTTACCAGATACAACTTTTTTTTTTAATAACACATTAATACAGCCATAAAGGATCTAACAGAAAGTCAATTCAGCCCATTCTAACTCCAACAGCAGCCAACGGAGGTAGCAGAGAGAGCGTACCACTGTATTCTTGCCATGTTCATAAACTGTGGCTCACAGATTTCCCTGAATTGAGGTTAAAGGCTTAACAGTCCTCAGTCTTTCACCCTTTAAAAACGTGCCCAGGCACTAACCTGCCTGCCATACTTCCTGAAGAACACAGCATGCTAAAGTAAGTCATGCATAGTTTCACGCCAAGTTTTCGAGATCAGCTGTGATGCAGAACAGATGAACTTTTGAAGAATAATTAGATAAGCTACTTAATTAATTGAGTGAGTTTAGATTCATTAGAAAAACTACTGAGGTCATTGAAAGCCAAGTAAAGAATTCTGCAACAGCAGCAGGTATGCAAAGTGTCAACACTAGAATTAGAAGGAAAGGTGAAAAAAAACATCTCATGATAACAGAAAAATCCATTTAAAATTGGTAAATTATGATTAGTTATGGTAAGCTACAGAAAGGCAAATGACCTTGGACAGAAACTAGCTAAAAACGTTGCAAAATCATCTCCGATTTCTGAGAGAGCTGGAGACATCCAATGTAAACACAACCACTGTCACTTCTGCCCCTCATCCCAAGACTAATTCTTCTTAGACAACAAGGAAGTTTCAAGGAGACGTGGTTCTGCAATACCCTCAACTAAACTGGAAAAAAAAGAGCTATAGATCCTTTTTAACGCATCAAGGTATAGTAGCATGGACTCATTAGAACATATTTGTAAAATGAAAGATCTGGCACAGCAGAATGCTAGCTCTCATGGATCCTACGGACCAAACACTCATAAGTGTTTGGAGTTCATTAAAGTGGGGTCACAGTGCACAGCTGATGACATTTCTGCACAAAGAGCTGAGTTGCACCCTCAGAATGAACCATGATATGAACAGAAGCTGAGCAAGTGGGAGTGATCATGGCATTTGTGGTCTGAAGAACACAAATATAAATGCAACTCCCCATTTAAGATTATCATACAAGTTGAATGTCTGCATTTTATGCAAATAGCGAGAAATGAATTGTAAGGTAAAAATGGTAAACGAGATAGAATATGAGAAAATAAAGGCAAAAGGCTCTCAAGTTTTCAGAGAACTCATCCAAGGTTGGGTTAGACAGCTTTTGAGAAAACTAAAGGGAAGTAAACACATGACAAATAAGAATCAGACAGTAACTTTCTCAGAGAACACCAACTGTTTTTCAGAGGGTTATGTTACAAATGCTGTAGGATGAATTCTGTTTCAATTTGTATCAACATCTAAACACAAAGGTTACAACTTAGCTGGCAACATGTCAGTCCTACGCAGGTAATTCTGTCCGGAGAGGCTGGCTCATGCAATTGCTGCTGCTTTTACTTGCTTTGAACAGAGAATATTCTCTTGTTGACTGAAGAATTATTTAGATCTTACATTTTTGTTGAATCTACGTTTGTTTGAATTTTAGATTATAAGCTAAAGGATAAAGGAGCACAGGGCTCCAGCCAGCCACCTCAGTCCCTAGAACTCGTGAGGTTTGACTATTTGGGACTGAGTGCCAGCAGCTTCCATGAACAAATGCTTTTGAACTGAGAGATACATACTAGTTTTATTATCCAATTAACTCAGCTCTATGACTATATTGGACTGCCTGCAAACAGCACTGCGCTGTCATGGTGCAGGGCTCCGATCCGTTAACACTAAAAATGAAGAGAGGATATCAGTTATGTGATTTGTGTTATCTGTTACCTAAGTAGTTTAGAGAATGGGCCATATGGAGAAGTTCAACAGCTGCCTGTTGTGCAACATATTGAAAATAGGAGTCACTATATTATAGTATGGCTTCAAGTAAATCTCTACAATTACTTTCCTTATACGCCCAGAAGGATTCCCTCTTCAGAAAGGAAGAGTGTGATCACAGGTAGTTCTCGGGCAAGAAGGAACAGCAAAGGTGACACACAAAAAAAAGAATCTTTCAGGCTAGTTGAAAGTATTTTTCCATTAAAAATAAACTCGCCTCCTTGGTAAGCAGCTTCAATGCAGGACAACGACATCAAAGGGAAAGAAAAGACTGACGTGTCCTAAAAGGTGACGGTCAGCTCAGATACCTAAGTTTAAGGGCATGGTGTGAGGAGGAGCAGTAATGAAAAGAGCAGACTTCAGTGAGTCTGTGGGCAAGAATATGTGTGATTTAAGTTA